GACAGGGAGGCCACTAGCAGATTTAGGGCTCAACAGGAGATCTGGGGGGGAGGGGCCAATTTCCATCTCGGGCACAGTGAATAGGAAGAGTCAAGAGGCCATCAAGATAGAGAAGACTGGCGGAGCCACTAGGGAAAACGGTATGGACTCTTTAAAAAACTAAAAATAGAGTTATCTGTGATACAGCAATCCCACTCCAGGGCATATATCCTGAGGAAACTCTTAATTTGAAAAGATACTGCACCCTAATGTTCACAGCAGCATTATTTACAATAGCCAAGACATGGAAGCAACCTAAGTGTACATCAACAGATGACTGGATAAAGAAGTTGTGGTATTATATATACAATGGAATACTACTCAGCCATAAAAAGAAATAATGCCATTTGTAGCAACATGGATGGACCTAGAGATTATCATACTGAGTGAAGTAAATCAGAGAAAGACAAATACCATATGATATCATTTACATGTGGAATCTAAAAAAAGACACAAATGAACTTACTTACAAAATAGAAACAGACTTACAGACATAGAAAACAAACTATGGTTACCAAAGGGGAAAGGAGGGAGGAATAAATTAGGAGTTTGGGATTAGCAGATATAAACTATTATATATAAAATAGACAAACAATAAGGTTCTACTATATGGCACCAAGAACTGTATTCAATATTGTGTGATAACCTATACTGAAAAAGGATATGAAAAAGTATACATATATATATATATAAATCACTAGGCTGTACACCAGAAATCAACACAACATTGTAAATCAAACATACTCCAATTAAAAAAAATAAGGAAAGTCATATGTCCCACTTCTGCTTAAAATCCTCCATTGACCTCTCATCTCACTCTAAATAAAATCCAAACTTCCTCATGTGGGAAAAAAAAGAGAAAATTGGGCATATTGACAAAAGCAGGGTTAGAGCGGCCATTATTATTTATTGAAGGGGACTTAATGCAGGATATGCAGGAAAGATAAATTTAATTCAAAAGACCTAAAGTTAAAAGAATTAAAGATCTTGTGAAAGTAAAACCGTGAAATTAGAATAGTCACAGATACAGACATTTAGCTAAAATGAATACTGGGGGAGAAGTGACATCACACAGAGGCCGCCACGCTGGGTTGGAGGGGTATCCCCACCACACAAGTCCTTTGTGCTGTCGCCAGTCAGTTGTGCGGAGAACAGACCCACTGTTCCCTCGTGTTCCTGGAGCCGGGATTTCCTTCGGTGGAGAGACCACAGATGGAAGCCGCAGCAGCCCTTTAGAAGGTCTAGATTGGATGCCCCAAACTGAGGATCCCAGGAATCCGGGACCTGTTGCTGTGCACTCTTCACTGCAGCAGCTGAGATGCCACAGGCCTGGACGTGCGACCAGCAGGCAGCAGAGACTGTGATGACACATTCAACCCTAGCCTTGCCTGAGAGAAACTTGTCTCAGCCCCTCGCTGCTGGCTAATTGTGCCCAATCCACCCAGGGTCACACAGTTCCTTTCCAGATTCTCTTTCTCTATTTAGAGCAAAATTATACTCTGGATGTCTTGACAAACACCAAGGAATACACATGTTTGCTGAGTTCGAGAGATTCCCATCTTAATAAGTCTACTTAATAAGTAAAAACTTGTTCGGTCTTGTTTGTACTGTTAATGGCTTTTTAAAAAGCATGTGTAAGTTTTAGATGGGATAAAACAAAACAAATTAAACTTTTAGTCCCTCCTGCTGTTTAAAGCCAAACTCTTCACTCTGAAGTGGCAGGTGTTTTTTGCTAATTAGGGTCAGATTGATGGGTAGAGAGAGAGAGCTAAAACTTTTTCTTTGATGTCATTTCTGGGTTGGCCAAGCGATAGCTTCTCTCTTCTGCTGTCTTTGTACTCCAATCTACAGAAGGCGTGCACAGGCTTCTGGGCAGAAGGTCGCAGATCTGGCTGGCTTCCATACACCAGTCATTCGGCAGAAAACTTGGCCAGCTCGCAGAAACACTTTAAGCGATTCCTTGGGTGTGGAGACATCCTTGCAATGCCTCCTTTTCCCTTCCCTTTTAGAACACGGATCTGAGCTGCCCCCATCTCATTCCACACTGCCACCCGCCCTGCTTTTGGCATTTGGTTTACACTAGCAGCCCTTTCACATGAGTTACTCTTTCAATACCTTGGCAAAGACACCTGCCCTCTTCCCTCCAGAACACAGGAGTCTGCCTACATGACCAGCACCAATAGTATTTAATGATATTTAAGTTGGTTTCTGGACTGGCTGCAAAAGCTAACGTTATTTTTTTTAATGGAAATAATGTTTTTATAGTTTCAATTTCCCTCTATCACCTAAGTTCAGTTCGCTCAGCAGGATTTTTCCTCCAGTGATGACTATTTCAAATACAACACATTCCTCTACAGAGTTAACTTTAATGGTTATGGTCTATAAATATGGTTTATTGAGATCATGACTGGGAAGTACTGTTGATTAACGAACTGATGACATGCTGTGTGGTGTGGTTAAGCAGTCAACCTAACAAATGTTCAGGGCCAGGAGAGTTAAAAAAAAGAAAGAGGGAAAGAAAAAAATGGTGGGTGGGGCGGCATAAAGGACGGGAGAGGGAATCTGCCTTGCATTCTCTGGGACAACAGGACGGGGTGGAGGCAGGGACAAGGACATCAGACTCAGGGAAGCGGCTGCACAAGCTTATGTAGGAAGAAGGTGCCAGTAAGGGAGGGCAACCTGTCTGTTGGCCTTAGATCTTCCACATGACTTAGCTTTCTGGAAACCTGACTGGCTTGTTCAATGGAAGCTTGGTTTCTAGGGTGAACGTACCCCATCTAAGCCAAAGGTGTGTCTTCCCCTTCCCCTCTGCCCAGCAAACAGACTGCAAACTCTCCCTCCTACATGGGCTGCTCATGGTGGGCCCATCTGCACACCTCATGGTGCTGGGCTGACTGTCCACGACCTTAAAATAGGGCTTTGCAGAGTAACGGCGGGGGCAGCTTTGGAGCTCAGCCTGGGCTGTTCCTCCATCAGGAAAGCCTGCAGCATCAGCACCTGTGGGATCCGAGTATGAAGTGCCACCTTGGTGTCAGTGGTGCTGAGTGTCATGTGAACAAGACCCTCTCCGAGGACCCTACATAGAGTCTCAAAACCAGCACTTTTCTCCTCTTTACCAGGTGCCATTCTTCATCTTGTAAAAATTATTAGGCAAAGCGCTGGAAAATCACGGGGAGTGAGACGCAAGTAACTGATTTCCTATGTGCCTTTCACAGGGATCAAACTACCCCAGTGACAGGCCTTTTCCATCCCTAACGACCCTTCAGGTGTTTGACTTAGCGTGAATCTTATGGGCATTAAGCTTCAAGGAACAGAATTTCTGAGGTTGAGTTTATAAGGAATACTAATGAGACAGTTTCCAAAAAAAAAAAAAACCAAACCGACAGAGACTGATTCTTAGGGATAAAAATCTCCCCTCACTGCTCATTTTATTTTCTTTACATTTCCAAATGATCTGAAGTACCCATTCTGGAACAAACCAAAACCTCTCTTATTTTGATCTCCCCAAAATGGAACATAGTAAAACCTGAACTGC